TTTTTTTTTTTTTGTTTTTTTTTCCCCCCCCCCCCCATTGAAAGGGCAATGTTAGAAAACTTTAGGTCTTTCAGATACTGCTGTCCATGAAATTCCTGAGTTGCCTTCTGTGGCTACCTTCCTCATGACCTACATGTCTCCTCCTTCCTCCTCCTCCTTCTGTAGTGAGTCTTTCTGTGTGTACCAGTCTGGGACTCCTTGATGCAAAGTTTCCTCTTAGGGATGTATGTTACAGCCTTGTCCAGTCACTGCCTTTGTGTTGGATCTTCAAGCCCTCAATGTAATATGCCCCTTTTTGTTTCTTCTGATACTTTACTACTTAACTAAAAATGTCTTTCAGCCCAAACCTTAGAGACTTTTTCCTAGAGTCTTTTAAATATGAGCTTTTTAATGACCTTTTACATTGTCTCTAAACTGATCTTCATTTAACAAATACTTGCTTTCCTGTATCCATGTATGTAGGCTAGCAGTTTGTTTTGTTTTTTTAAACACTCTTGAAGTGGACAGTTGATCTGCCTTTCTGGCACTACCTTATTGAGTACTAAAGTCACTTCATAGATTTCAGGAAATAGTGTACCACTTCACACTAAGATATTAGTGTGTGTTGTTTTGGTACATGACCAAACCTCTGCCACATTCTCATGACTTTTATCCAGACAATGATTGTTACTTCCAGTCTTTTGCATTTAAAATTCCCTGATATTGATGTCTTTGAACTTTGGAAACACATCCTTTAATACATTAAAAAAACTCTGTCTTCTTACTTGACTTGTTGCTAGTAGGTATTGCTGGAAACTTGAAGGAATCCAGCCTGAAACCAAGTTCTGAGAATTCTTCCTCAAATGTTTCCTGTTTGGTGCTTATCTACTTCATTTGACATTTATGATAGCTATACCAGCTTCATGTCTCTTATCCAACGAGACAATAACCTAATTGTATTTATCAGAAGTGCAATTCATTTGAACCTGTCCAGCAAACCTGACATCTGCTTAAATTAGTTAAAGAAATGGACAGATATTCATTTGACACTTCTACAATAAGGGACTGTATAATTTCATACATAGACGCATACAAATCTACCTTTCATTACTGATTTAGTGCTGAGCTGTATAGCTTGGGCTGCTTTTTTGGGTGTGACAGATGATTAATATTCTTTTTCCAGTTCATCTGCATTCTGGTATGGCTCTGTGTTGTTTTTTTGCAGCATTTTTTTGTTTTATTCTGTAGTGTTATCACTGTGTCTGGGGTTGGTTGGGCCAAAACCCAGATAAAATCTGTGTACATTGATTTACTGACATAGCTCAAATGCTGGACCTGCTGTTTAAGCATCTTAATGTAGTACAGTACACCCATAGAATTTAGCCTTTTGTTTTCATCTCTTTTCTAATGCTTTTGGAAGGTTTCTCAGCATTTAGTATTTGCTGACTGACAACTTGCACTTTTTTATAATGGCAGTGTATTTGTTGACATGGTATCAGATAAGTTTGTCTTAATTAATATAACAAATAATATTATTTTTTTAAATCCGTTAGAACTGATTTTCATGCAAATAAATGATTTTCATAAGCTGAAAGTAAACAAGATTTATTGTACAAGTCTTATATACATAAAAGCAAAAGACCTGATTTGCTTTTAGTTGTAACTAAATGCCTTTCAGGTATTGCGTCTGAATTTGGAGTTCGAGGCTATCCAACAATTAAGCTGTAAGTTGACCTTTCCTATTTTATATTTGTAAGTATGTAGAGGGAGGGGGCAGAAAAAATTTGATTGCTGACCCCTTTATAATGCTGGAAAAACAAATTACAATTTTTTGAGGCATGATTTGCAAGTTTTATTACTAAAATGCATAATTGATTTGAAAAATGAGTTTTATAATTAATATTTTAAGGTTCTCACTAGTCAGGTTTTAACCAAAACAGCATAAACAAGTTCAGTATTAAACATCATTTTCCACCATTTGGTGAAGATATTTAAACTTAAAGGAGACATCATGAACTTGAAATCCAGTCAGTTTGATTATTCAAAGTAATGGTTTTAGGTACTAAAACTTCATCTGGATGCCCACTGGTAGGTCTGAGACTTGAGCCACACTTACTGTGTATTTATTGAGAAATGTCACACAGCCAGTGTGGCAATCTGCCCACTTATTTCTTCTCTGTGCACCTACAACCTCAGCAGTTAGTTTTGGGCATGCATACCTCAGATTGGTGCTCAGAACCAATCTAAACTGTCTGTGCTACATCGTTGCTGAGCTTGTGTACACAAAGCAGGAGTGAGTGAACAGAGATTGTCCCTTGATAGCTGAGTGGGGAAATTTTTTTTTTTTTTTTTTAATCTTTCAGTTATAGTAACTTTAGCTCTTTGGGGTTAGTGTGTAGTTTAAGGAAAAGACAGGCTGGGCTTTTATATGAACAATCTTCCTTTTAATAAATTTACTACAAGGTCAAGACATCAAAAATGGTACGTTAAGGGGGAGAAGCCACGTTTAGTCTAATGATAAACAGATTGTATTAGACTTACTGGAAGATGATTAATTATAACAAAATATTATTTGGATTTTTTTCAGTTACATTTCACAGGGTTACATAGCATGTTACTGGCTGGAAGTAAAGACGTTTGTCAAAATGGCATGCATGTTTAAGAAACTGGTCTTCATGTCACCAAATTGATAATGTAGCTTAGCCATGTGCGTTCTTTTTTTTTCCCCAAAGGAAATATTAACACTTTAGGTCACAATCCCACCCCCTTTTTTTTTTTCTTCTCATAAGGAAATGAAGTAAGTTTATACTTCCTATCAGTTGCACGCAATAATATTCTGTATTGAACAAATACAGATACAAAGATAACTGCATATGCAGATTTAGCTGCTGTTGCAGGTTATCAGGTTGCTGCTATTGCAGGCAACCACATTGCAGGATACTATTTTTCCACTTTTTTTGTCCTTTTTGTTTTGCTTTTTTTCAAGTAGTATAAAGTTAACATAGGTGCTCTTGATAATCCCTTTTGAGGCATAAATGCTGAAGTTTTTTGTGTTTTGCCTGTCAAGCTATAAGCAAATTTTCTAAACATCTTTATAGTTCTAAAATACAGTGACTGGCAAACAAACAAGTACCAACATGTACTGTAGAAATTAGCAGTAAAAGAATGTTAATTTATTCAGTAGGGAGTTGATAAACTTTGAATTTTGTCACAGTAATTGTATTATAGTGGGCCATTGAGCTCCTCATTTTGCTGAGTAAAGATGGCTTCTAATGGCTAATTAGTTGCAAAATTGAACTTCATCAGCATTTACTGATGATTTAATATATTGAAATGCTTTGATTTCGTATGAACAGCCAAATTTAGGTTATAGGCTAGAGAAGTGCAATGAATGGGTATTAAGTATATTTCTCTCTCTCTCTGTTCTCATCAGTTTAAAAGGTGACCTGGCATACAACTATAGAGGACCTAGGACAAAAGATGATATAATTGAGTTTGCCAACAGAGTAGCAGGGTAAGTATTTATATTTCTGTTAGCATGCCCATAACAGTTTTATTTGGGTTACCTTCCCCATTTAATTGGAAGTGAGAGCCAAAGGTAGCTTTCAGTATAGAAAAATATTTTTGATACTTGTATTTAAAACTTTGCTGTGCATTCTTTCACTTAACAAGAGTTATCTTGGGTATAATTCAAGTGCTTTTATTATAATTTTAAGTAAAATTGGAAGGAGTATTTTAAGATAAGTTGCACATAAAAACAACAATTGAGTTAAAGCCAGAAATATATATATAACACCTCAGCTAAATAGAGTAGGTGTTCAGGAAAGGAATATATTCATCACTAATGATTGTAGTAACTTCTCTTTGTATGCCTTTCTGACCTTAAGTAGACAGTAGAGGACGCATTGAGAACAGTTCTAGGGTTCTAATGACTATCCGTTTATCAGTATCAATCATTGATATTAGTTTTTAATGATGATTTTGTATATTCTCCTCAATCCTTTTCCATTATGATGAAACTAAAATTGGAGTTTTAACCTACGTTAAAAGCTTTGTTTCCTTAACTTTTTTCCCTTCTGTCTTCCTTCTGATTTTTGTATTGTATTGGCCTTGCAAGGGCTTCTGCACTAGTATATCTTTTGAGAAGTCCCCTTCTTTCATTGGGGTTCCACTTTCCTACACTTGTGTCCTCTTTAGGGCTGGTACCAATTCTGGGGGGGGTTGCTATACTCTGTAGCACAGTGAAGTAGATGTTTGCTGTGTTTCATTGCCAGACAAGCGAAAATTATAAATGGCTTCTGGCTACCTTCTTGTTCATACTGTATTTACTCAAATGTAAGACTAGATCTTCCCCCCCATTCAGTGGGGGATGATGGGGAGGGAGGGCAGCTTGTCTCTGTTTCAAATACAAAGCAAAATGGAAGGCAGGGGGCTTCTGCAGCTCTTACTGGTCCCAGCCTAGGGTCAGAGTCCTCCACTACCCCATCATTTGCCATCTGTTGTGGCTCCAGTCTCGCACAGTGGGTAGTTCCAGCCCTGGCCAGGCAGTGCAGCAATAGCAGTGATGGCAGTTAAACTATGTAGGATACCAATATCATTACAGAGTGCACATTAGATATGCTAGTAGAAGTGTATTTCAATTCTCTAGTGACATACGATTTCATTTCATGACCTTGTATGCATTTTCAGTGTATTGGTGTTGTGAATAGCTAGGCTGGCTAGGTCTCAGGCCTGTATGACTTATCTTCATTCCTGGCTTCCTGCACATAATACTTGCTTTCTTTTCTCTAATAAGTACAGCTGTTTAAACTGCTTACATCACTGTCAACTGGCTGGCAGAAGGGAAGTGTGCAGGGGTTTCACATTTGAAGTGTGATAGGGCAGTTGCATTTTTATATCTCCATATTGAATAAAAAAGTCACATCCCGCTGCTTTGAATAAGAAAATCAGTTACTATTCAGAAACCCCTGCAGATATACCCATTTTTGCTACTAACGGATGTATACCAATTGTCTCATTATTTTCCTTTGTACTTCTGTGTCTCCTGGAAGATAAGGTGCCATCTACCCCAGGAAATGATCTTCAGGGGCCTTGAAACTCCTTCCTAGTTATTTTTGGCAACCTAACTGAGCCTGGTACTGTCTTCTAGGAATGAATGGGGAAGGGGAAACTTAGTTAGAAGCAGAGACTTTGTTAAACTAAGGAGAAGGCAGGGGTGAGAGCTGAAGGCCTTCTAGAAGCTGAGGCCTTGTTGAGCTAAGTTTTCGCTTAAGGCTGAAGGCAGTGTCACAGGACCCAGGGCCTCTAGTCTATCCAACAATTTTGAAGTATTTGTATAGTGTTTGTGTTCTGCACCTGTTTGTGCAACATGCTTCTCAGCAAAGGGGTATAAAAGGCAGCATGCTCATGAGCTTTTTTCAACAGCCTTGACTTGACATTGCTGTTCTGTGCACTAAATCTACCGTAGCTTGCAACTTTCCGAATTTTTTTTTTTTTGCTGTAGTCTTTTCCTTTTGTTCCTTTGAGAATATTGTCAGATTTAATGTCTTGGTGCACCCACTTTTTTTCTTGTGACCTCTCTTCATAGTATGTTCCAGCCCCGCCCCCGCCTTGTGCTCTTATTTTTCAGTTGACTGGAAGCTTGTGAAACTTCTTGTTTCACATCCCTGAGACTTTCTCTCTCTCTTGCCTATCATCATGACATCTCAGATTTTAGCCACCTTGCCAATGGTTCTGTGCGCAAATTCAAGAGTCTCTGTAGCCTCAGAAATTTCATATTCTGTGATTCATTTGTAAATGTTTCCCTCTGGGAATAGAGATGGGTACATGGTCAGATTAACAGTCTATTGTGGGCAAGCCCACAGAATCAGTCCCAGAGCACAAGATACTTTGTGGTGATGAATCTCTAACATTACATCAACCTTGAGAGGATGCCATGTACTACTTGTTTTGCCAGAAAAGATGACTTCTGTGGAGCACAGATAGCTCCACAAGGAACTATATTTTAGTATTTCTTAAATCTCAAAACACAAGGGGCAAGCAGTATTGAGATCCTGTTCAAATTCAGTAGTACCCTGGCAACAATACTCTGTTATTACAGCTTCCTTAGAATTTACTTCAGTGGGACCCAGAAAGACAGGTACCCGTATAATGCGTTGGCATTTTCAGAGTGGATCTGTTTCTTTTCCGCTTTCATGGCACTGGCAGCTGTAGCACCTCTTCACGGCCTTTGGCAGATGTTAGAAATAGTGACATGATTAGGCTATGAATAATTTTATACCTGTATAATACTAGGATAAGTGCAACGTGGGCCAGAGTCCCATGTGTTCTGTCAGTGACTCTTAGTTCCAAACAACTTGGTGACTCAGCAGGCTAAGAAATCTCCTTTAAAGGAGAAAATCCATGGTTTTCCACAGCAAATGGAAAACCCAGATCCCTGCTAATAAGCCAGTAGCATTGTATTCCTCTGGAGGAGGTCAGCAAGCATTGTCTAGGACAGTGGTCTCCAAACTTTTTTGATCGCGCACCCCTATCATTAAAAAAATTTTGAGCATGCAGCCCCTATATATGAGTGAGGGCGCCACTGTCAACCCCTCCACATTGTGGAACTCCCACTCTTCCCTTAGGATACCTTGCATACTGTACGTGACACGTGACCGTCTGACATATGGACCGAGTGAGGGTGCCAGTGTCAATCCATGTGTTAAATATTAGTAAAGCTTAATTCTTTTATATTTATCTAAAAAAATAAGAAAGAAAGTTCTAATATTTTCTTCCAGCACCCCAATGGATAGTCTTGCGTGCACCCCACTTTGGAGACCACTGGTCTAGGACATCTCTATGTGACACTATTCTGGTTATGATAAATGTTGTCTAGTAGACACCTGCCATTTCTACCCCAAGTGATTGGAAGCTGGACAAGCAACGTTAGGTCTCTTCCAGAGAAACTGAGTATTTCTACATCCCCTCTCCCATTGGTGATGTGACAAATAAAAGAAAAAATGGTTTTGCTCCTCCTTGAAGGACAAGAAGGCTGGATTTGTTAATGAAGACGCAGTACCCTTGTGCTTGATTGCTGCTTAGGATGGCTGATTATTAGGCCCTGCTCGTATGGTGTACGTGTACCCCCAAATGAAAGCAGAGATATCATCCCAGTTCTGAGCAAAGACATTCTTATTAGTCTTTTTTTGCTCTTCTTACCTTGCCATTCATATATTAACCTCAAGAGCCATCAGAGAGCAGACTGGTTCTGTAAAACTGCTTTTTCAGTCTCCTTTAGTGATCAGACAAAATCTTTTGTCTTTTACAATCAAGAGCCTGCCCAGCCCAGCCTCTGTCAGCACCTTTCTTCCTTTCAGTAGCCATTTGCCTTCTTTTCAAGCAATATGAACCTGGATCAGGTAGATTCTAAATATCATCAAAGCTGAGCAGGCCAGCTATTTCAACTTGCCTATCCTTCCCTTTTTCTTCAGGGGCTCTTTCTCATGTGATGTCTTCTTCCTGTTTACATTGTAGAGGCACTGGAGGAAATGGTTTTAGGGAACAGGGCAGCATCTCATTTTGAACTTGAGCTTGTAAATGAAGGTGCTTTTATATTTTTTTTTTTTTTTTTTTTAAGTTCAAAACTTCATCCACTATAATACACACATGCATTATTCTGTTTTCAACACATTTACTTCTGTATTGCCATAAGAATCATCTGCCAAAAGTACCTTTATTTGAAATGGGCCAGGGCCTTAACCAATGCAAGGTCCTCTTTGTCCTCTTAACAGCTTCAAAAGCCTCCCACATGGTTCTTGTGATAATGGTCACTTACCTTGAGAGAGAGATGGGAAGCCATGTGTAGGTGGTTAACCATATAGAAGGTAGGACAGAGCAGCACCTTAAAGACCATCTGGTTCAGAGAGGCATGAGATTTTGTAGGCAACAGCCTACTTTGTCACATGCTTGGGAGGAAAAATGTTAGTTATTACCCTTACTCAGGTGACTGGTTATGGGAAGCTCCTTCAAATCTTCATTACTTTGTGGTCACCATCAGATTTGATATTTCAGATAGGTGAGAGTAAACTTTAATAAACTGTTCAACTACTAGAATTCATGAAGGTCACACTGGATGCTTTATTGCCTAGTCTCACCTAGTAGTCTGATATTTTTTCATGCTGTGGTCTGGAAAATGTCCTGTATGCCACTGTGCCAAAAACTTTAAGTCGACAGATGCTTCAGAAAGTGCAGCAGGATTTTGCACATCCTGCATTTAGTGACCTTAGCTTGGGCAAGGCTCATCTAGTTCAAAGAACACTCTTGGAAGGTGGTTAAGAGCCCCAGGACCCTCCTAATACTCGAAGACCTATAAGAAGATGCTCCACAAAGTTTTACACATACTGTCTCCACGGCATGTATATTTGATACCGCTTGCTGGTAGAGTGGGCCTGTAGGTACCCAGTCAGACCTATTCATGTCCACTAGGTCACACCACTGTCTTGGTATTTGGTGCATATGGAGCAGGAGTGAGTTTACAGTACCTGTTTTCCCTGTGGTGCTCCTTAGCACAATCAGAGGCTGAGTAGTGTGTGTTGACTTTGTCAAATTACTGACTTTCCAGTTGCTATCATCTTATCAAGGAGAATAAGTAAGATCCAGATGTTGGTGTCAGAGCTCTCTTATATTGTTTGCTACCTAGACAAAGTATCCTTGAAAACTTGCCTTGGAATTGGACACTAGTTTATTACGGAGGTACTAAGCACTACATCGTTGTGGAAACTTCCATGGCAGATGGTATATTTCCTGAAATAATCGTGTTGTTTGTTTGCGTAAGACCTCTGAGACTGATGTTTGTTAGATGCTTGGGCTTCAGTAATATGGCTGGTTTGGAGTCATCTATGTCTTAACTTCTGTTCTCTCTCAAGTCCCTGATATTCTGGGGTGAAAAAGGAACTGGAGGCCAGAAAAAGGAACTATAAGCCGTCCTTTCTGCCCTCGGTGTGTAACGTGTGGAAGCATAAGCATGTGTCATACACGTACCACCTGTACTCTGAATGTGCACCATACAATTACTACTAAGGAAAAATGTTTGAGCTCGGATGTTTGTGGCTAAAATTGTGCATGTTATACATCCTTGAATTCTTGTTACTGGTTGAGTAACTAAAAGCAGGAATAATAAGAGTCTCTGAAGTAAGGTGATTTACTAAGGGTATAGTCCTTAGTTGTTATATCCACAGTCTCCAATATCTTAGAGAGCTTTCCAGGATACTGTTGCTAGTAGTATTTTAAACTAAGATGTGACTAACTGATACCTTGATTTACACTCTTAACACTCTGTATTGTGTACTAGTTGTAAAATACAGGACTTCTGAGTCAGAATTGTAAAGTTACTGCATGAAATTTTAAATGTTTTTGTTTCTCTAAATTTGGAAAACTGGAATGTGTTGTTCTTAACTGACCTGTTCTCCTCTCCCCTTCCTCCCCCTGCACTTTTTTAAGACCTCTTATCCGGCCACTCCCTAGCCAGCTGATGTTTGAGCATGTGCAAAGGAGACATCGGGTACTTTTTGTGTACGTTGGTGGGGAGTCTCCTTTAAAGGTTTGAAACTTAATTAAGTTTAATTTTTTTTTCTTTTTGATCTTCACAAAGGTAGTCTGAAGTGACTTGCTTATCGCTTTTAAAAATGTGCAGCTATCCTGCCGCCTTAAGAAAGTGAAATGTAAGCTGATAAATATGTCATAACTTTAGAGCAGTTTTAATGGCGTGATTACAAAACAATGGGTGCCTATGCATGAGCACAGAGGCTGTTCCGATTCACTGGAATGCCATTGAGTCTGCTGGAGTGTGGCAGTTCCCACAGTCCAGCAGCCTCCTGCATCTCATGTATCAGCATCCTCACGCTTACAAATGGCAGGGGATACTTGAACTAAAGCTCATTGAACGAGCTTTAGTTCAAGCACCCCACCTCCATTTTTAAGCCTGGGAACACTGATACATAGGGCAGCTCTCATAGCTACTCTCATTAAAGCATTGACTTCCCTTCCCCCGAAGAGCATGTGAAGGTGTCAAATGTTCTATGTGTTTAGAGGCTTCTACCAAAAATGGCAGTACTAACTAGGATCTGAACTCTCGCTTCATTTCTCTTGTAGTTATTTTTAGTTGGGACTAGTGCAGGTCTAGTGGTTTCAACATTATTTTAAACCTTGTATTGGTAATGTCAAAATGATATCCTTTTTCTATTGTCTAGGTACTTTTTTCAGCATCATTTTAAAACTAAAAATGTCCATTTATAAAATTAAGTTAGTATGTCTTGCACAGTTCTCAATGTAGACAAATATATTTAAAATCTAAACACCTCCTGTCCTGCAGCTTTAAATTATGTAGGCCAGGAGTGGTCAACTAGCAGCATGAGTGCCATAAGTGGCGCAGGTGGATTCTGTGTTGCATGTGGCAGATTGGGGAGGGGACAGGCAGTGCCATGGCAGATAGGGCAGGGAGCAGAAAGCAGAGCATTGAAGTAAATAGGGAACACAAGATGGAGCAGAAAGTGGAGCAGCAAATCTGGCAGAGGAAAGGTAGCACCCAAGGAGGATGTGGGGCTAATTTGTGGCGCACTTTCAAAAAAAGTTAAGCCCCTGATCCAGGCCACAAACAGACATTCACTTCTGGTGGAAATTTTTCAGAAATTTCTGATGGCAGAAATGTTTCCAGGACAGGGAATGTACAGCCATTCAGCTTGCAGTTGTCTCCTCTCTGCACTCTCACTACCCCATGGTGATTCTGGATTGGGAAAAGCATGGAGAGCAGTTGCTGCTGCACTCCTGGTCTTTGTAGGTAATGGAGCTGTGAGAAGAAATTATCTGTGTTTCCCTAGACCCAGGATATCAAGGTCTGGGAAATGACAGGGGGCTTTGCTATGAAGTGCCCAACTACTCGGACAAGGGGCCCCGGTCTGAGAAGTGAGTAGGGAGTTCCTCCACTCAGCTTCCAGTGGCTGGGAGCCAAGCTGAATGAGCAGCATCCACAACCAGCAGAGCAGTAGGAGGCTTTACCCTGCTACTCCAGTCTCTTTGCGGACTGGAGCAGCAAAGCTGCCTGCCTGTTTCACCAACCAGGCAGTCCCCGGTCTGAGAGAGGACAAGGAGCATTCCCCTACTTCTTTACTCTCCTGATGGGGACTGTACAAGTGTGCAGTCTTGCAAGAGAGTTTGCCTTACAAGGAAGATCTTGCAGGAGAGCTTTCTCTTGGAAGGGGGCATGTTCTGCTAGGACAAATTTGAGTGACAGCTTGTACGTTCGTCACTTCTACTGGAAAAATGATGATTCTCCTACTAGAAATGTGATGTCTGTACTTGCTCCTACCAAATGAATATAAACTTTTAATTCCAAAATCTAGTTGCTTCACCTCCCATCCCCCCCCCCCCCC